GTATCTTGGCCCCTGTGGCCTTTTTTGGTTTGACAAGAATATGCAAAAAGCAAGTAGGATAAGCCTTAGGAGAAAGCACAGATCTGTGACCGGTTTTCCGGCAGCAAAGAAACACTGTAGATGCTCTGTTCACCTCGGGGGCCAACACAGTCCCAAGTTTCACGGTCCCAAGCACCCCCCCTCCACACCCAGGGAAAGACCTGGCAGGGAAGGTGAGCACTGCTGGCCTGGCCCAGGGAGGTCAGGTGGCCGCCGACAGCTTCCTTTCTCCCCTTGGAAGAGCCACTCGGGCACGGTGGGAAGGGCTGCCCGCACCCCTGTGGAATCCTCCATGGAGGTGGCTGCTTAGGGCTGGCAGGACGCGCAGGGCCGAAGGGTCAGCGCCCCCCCTGCAGAAACCGTGCAAGGTGGTGGCCTGCTCTCATGCCTTCTGTGTTCTGCGTCTTGTTTTCATCCTCCCCTTGCCTTGCGTCCAGTTGTCAGTGTTTACTCAGCGTGACTCCCTGTGACGTGAGACACCAGCTTTGAGTGTCCGCTCCACCGCAGACTTGTGCCCTCGGGCGGGTGACTGCCTGGCTGTGCCCCCACCTCCCTGTCTATCCCGTGGACACGATCCCCCCTCCTCCCTGCCGGGGCTGCCGTGAGAAGTGAGTGGATACGTGCTAGAAGGGTGCTTGGCGCAAAGTAACGCTCCATAAACGTTAGCGGCTGGTTTTGTTTAGGAGCTTAGCAGACTTCTTGCAGGACACGGCTTACATTTTTAAAAAGTGTGTTTGCAGAGGAAAATAAAAAATTGGCTATTTTGGTCTTTGGGGATGAGGACCCTTAGTCCCTGTCCCCTCACATGACATGGGCTCAGGGGGCCCTTCCCAGGCTCCCTTCTGGGGACCTCGGGATGTTTGCCTGCACGAGGAGATATGCCAGCTGCCCGAGGACTGCTGGAAAGGCCAGTTAGCGTGGCCCCCGCTGTGCTCCCCTGGCAGAGCGTGGACCAGCGGCCCAAGTTTTGCTAGTCGTGCCATTGGCAGAGGGGCCGCGGGAGTCGGAAGCTGGACCCACCAGCACGTGAGAACCCGGCCAGGGAAGAATGGACAGAGGGATGCGCAGGAAGGGGGGAGGGAGCTGAGGGGGCCTGGCACAGCTTTGTGCAGCAGGTCAGGAATCTTTCCTGGGGCTGCCCAGTGCCCACGGCAAGCCTGTGACAAAGCAGCTCCTGTAGGGGAGGGGAGAGGTGTGCACAGCCCACGGTCAGCCTGGGGCTGCCGCGTCGGCCCCCGGAGGGCTGGGGGAAACACGGGGATCGTGGATTCTAGTGAGGACCAAGCAGCGCGGTTGCCTGGAGGGGCGGCCCAGAGGCCACGGACGCCTCGAGAGTCGGCTTCCGGTGCCTGTGGATCAGGGCGGTGCTGTTCACCAGAAACCAAAGCCAAGTTTAATTCACATGGCCGCCCTTAGTGGGCGCCAACAGAGTCCCGCCCTGGCTGAGGTCTTTGGTCAGCATTCTTTCTTAAAGTTCATTTGAAGATGTTTATATTTTATTTAGGCAATATGTTCACATGCTTAACAAAACCATATAAAAAGATCCGTCCAGCGCAGTCTTGCTCCCATTTCTGCCCTGCCCCCCTCTCTAGCCTTCTAGAACAGCCTTTCTCAACCTCATTTTCTTTACCACCACCCTGTCCGGCCAGGCTCCTTTTGCAGTTCTTTCCTATCAGTGCCCCCATGAGTGTCAGTCCCACAGACACACTGTATATCTGCTTATGATATATAAGATTTCTTCACTCCCTAAATCCAGTCTTCACCCCCTTGGGAATGCACGCTATGGAGTTTATGTAATCACAGGCAGGTGCAAATATGTCTTCCTATTTTCCTCCTTCCTTCTACAAAATGTTGCAGATCTACTCCTGGGTCCCCCGTGGATGGGGAGTTGGGTGTCTCTTGGACAAGCAGCACGTGTGAACCTGTCACCTGCTGAAGGGGTGGGCGGGCATGTCAGGGGCTGGTTCTCAGGAATGGAAGGGCTGGTCTGAGGGTCCAGCCTGGATTCGGAGGCCTGTGGGGTGGAGAGTTTCTGGGGTCATCCTGCCTGGCTTTCTTTCATTCTGGCCTCACCACTTCACTCTCTCATGGCCTCAGGCAAGTAACTTACGATGATGGCCCTGACTCTGAGGGTTCTGGTAAGAATGGAAAAAGGGAGCCTCCTTGGAAGGAAAGCGCTTTGGCCAGTACCTGGTATGCACGGTGAGTGCTCAGTAGTTATCGGAATACTTTACCACCACCGCCCCCCCCCCCCCCCCCCCCCGCCATAGCTGTGTATCCTGGGGCCAGGGCCTGAGTGTCCTCACCTATCCAATGGGGGTGATGATCAAATCTGTGGCATACTTGTTATATGGATTAGACCTGTCCAGACCTGCCAGGTGTTTTGAGCGGTGCTTTGCGTACAGACAGTGCTCAGAAGCAATAGCTGTTATTCCTCCTGGGGGCAGGGTTGTGAAAATGGGGCCTGTGGAGGCTGGAGCAGGTTGTGCGGGGCCTTCAAGCCGGCTGTGCTTGCTTAGATGCTATCAGGAGGCACAGGGGGAGCAGGGACGAACGTTTGTGGTGGATGTGACCCTGCAAAAATCTTACCTGTGTAGGACTTTCCCTTGGCCTCCCAGGAAGCTGGTCACCCTGTCTGCTTAATGACCTTGAGCTTTTCTCCTCGAAAGCATCTCTTTTATTATTGGAGTGTGCCAATTGTTGTTTAAGGACTGTGATTTCGTGACTGTCCTCTTCCTGCCTTTGGACAAAACCCATTCCTTCTCTGGGCCTCAGTTTCCCCATCTGATGGTGTTGGGCTGGCTAATTCCTGAGGGTGGTCCCAAGCACCTGTGCACTGGAATTCTGTGGCTCGTAGTGGGTGGAGTTTTACTTATGTATACCCACCAGAGATGGACAAAAGGTGAAAGTGAAGGAGAAGGGCTCCCTCTCATTTCTCTTGGGTTCCTGGACCAGGAGAAGAGACTCCGTGAGAATCCTTTTCCTGGGGACATGCCTTTCATCAACTGCCATTTTGTGCTTCGCCTCTCACTCCTGGCATGAGTTGGGAAGAGAGCTGGGGATGGAGACTCTATGGACCCAGCTTGATATGTCCGGATCCCTTTTCCAGATGCTTCTCCCTTTCCTCCCAATTATGAGACTCCTGAAAACGGTCCATTCTTTTCAGAGTGGGTCAGAGTCCTATGGGGAAATGAACTGAACTGAAGGGACCCAGATATTATTGGTGACAGAACTCAGTTCAGCCAATGAGAGGCCCAGGAGGAGGTGGTGCACTGGATATCAACACATTATTGTTTATCGTCTGTTTCCTCGATTCTTTTATTACTTGATCTTCTGACTTAGAGCTTGCACTGCAGTTAGTGAATAAGAATGCCCTTCTTGACATGGACCCACGCCTCGCTTGTAACCACCACCTGAAAGACAGACATATGTCTCTGGTGGATGACTTTTGACCTGTCTTTGATAAAGGGGTGAGAATTTTCTCTGACTGGTTCTGTCCAGGGCCTTTCACATGGAAAGTACTGTGTCTTGATGACACAGTGTTGGATGTTGGGGAGATGGTGGTGACTCGAACTCGGTCCCTTCCATCATGGTGAGAGTTGGTACCTTGACCACATTTTCCCTCTTCCCTTTTGACAGAAACCCATGTCTCCCTTAATCATTTCAGGAGTCTAATAGAACTCTAAGGCCACGACTTGCAGACATACTCATTACTCAGGGCTCCAGCTAGCTCATTGCCTGTGTGTTGTTAAGATCATCTACACCGCATCAACTTTGGTAGCAATCACAGGACTTTATTAATTATTATTTGGGGAAATATGTTCTATACTAGGAAGTTCAAATAATGCTTGGAAACCAGATTTCTTTGGGTGACCCTTAAGAGCCAAGCCTATAGATTCATATCTAACCTATCACCGAAGATGTTAATAGTTGTGCTTAAAGCAGGGGAGAGGGGTTCTGTGGCCAAATGTTGGGACTTGGTGCTTACCCCAGCCCACCTTGCAGAGTTACACTGCCTGTGAGCAGATTAAAGGCTCTGAGAAGTCCTGCAGTAAAGAAACCTATTTGACATTGACTCAGCATTTTCCAAATGCTTATTAGCTTTAGAATTTGTTTCCCACCCTCATAAACCCATTTAATATCCTTCAGAGCCAGCGTTCCACAAAGCACCCTGGAAACACTTGTGGAAATGATTTGTTTCAGCCGAAAACGGCCCAATGGCCAATGTAGGTGGTCAGAAAAAGAAATCTGTTATTTGCAAATGCAGAGTTTTATTTGACTCGTTGGCCCCAAACTGAGGAACTTGTGCTCTTCTCCAAGGAAGGAGAGTTCACTCCTGAGCAAAACCTCTCATCGATTCTTGTAATGAGTCATGTGAAATCCAGACCGTTGACTGGAAGGTGGGGGGTGGGTTCCTACGTTTCCACCCTCTCCAAGGGCTCAAGAGGTAGGGCATTGTTTCAGGCTCTTAGGGCGGAATATGTGAGCCACTTGTGTTCTCAGACAATCAAGAAGCCATGTTGGGGGCAGCAAGTGATCTGTAATAGGGCCCCTGTGACCGTCTTGGTGTGTGCAGGACACTTGGAAATAGTCTTTGGTTGAACAAAGCATATAGTGAAGTATCATGTATAACGGTCTATCTTTTTTTAAAGAAAGATACAAGAGACATTCAAACATAATAGCAGTGGGATGATGGGCAATTTCTGTTCTTTTCCTTTTCCTTGTTACCTACTGGTGCCCAGGTTCCTATTGTCAACGTACATTCCCATTAGAAAAAGAAATACACAAATATAAATAAAAATACACGTATGTTCAAATAGACACACATAACACAAACGCACGCATACACCTTGCTGTACCTTGTGTAAACCAAGATAAATATAAGTTGGTGAGTTTTGGTCTTAAATCTTTGGTTTCTAATAGTTCCTTCAAAGTGTGTCCTTTTTTAATTTTTCCAGATGGGCAGCAAATTTGGGAGATGGAAGCTACGGTGGATAAAGACAAGAGCCAGCCTGTAAGCACCTGGACGAGATGACTGAGCACCCTGTCATGTCCCCCTCCCACCTCCCTCATGTTCTCTTTCCTTCCTTTTTTCCTCCTTCATCCAAGTCCCAGGGCTTTGGAGCTAACAGGCACTCAGTAGGTATTGAATGGACACATCAGTTGAACATTTATTGAGCACCAGGCCCTCTGATTTGTAACTGTGGCATCGTGATAGACTTTGGGAGAGTAAGTGGCAATCCTTTGTTCACCCACAGCTGGAAGGTCAAGTGCCTCTTAGAATCTCGCCTCTAAACGTACAGAATGTGTTTTGACTCCTTTGAGAGGAGCTGGCCTGATGTGCTTGGGGCCTTGCTTAGGAATGTAGGCATTGTTGCAGTTAAGTTGATGATAGCTCCTTCCTTCCAGAACATGCTTTTTGTTGAGATCCCTGAGTATCGAAACAAGCACATCCGTGCATCGGTGAAGGTGAACTTCTACGTCATCAATGGGAAAAGAAAACGAAGTCAGCCTCAGCACTTTACCTACCACCCAGGTAAGAAATCTTCTCTGGAGGCCCCTTTGGTGTTGAGAGGTGAGGTAGGACATTGTCCTCAGGTGAGGACACATGAGGTCTGCTCCCAGCTGGGTGACCTTGGGCAGGTGACTCAACCTCTTGGAGCCTCCGTTTCCTCATCTGTCAAATGGCACCTTCCTTATAAGACTTAAAGAAATCAAATGCACATAATGTGCTTAGCACAGCGCACGGTAAGCAGATATGAATGATATTAGCTATTACTAATATTTTTCTTCTGCGGGGGGAGGCAGATGAGGAGGGAGGCATGCGTGGACTTGTTCAACAACATGACCTCTGTCCATGTCTTAGATTTGCTCCTGATCGGGGGACTGAACCCTCCCTGAAACTTGCAGGATCTGTAGTGGACCCCGCAGTGGGTAGTCTCTCTGCGGCCCTGTGGATTCCTGGGTAGATAGCCAGGCCAGGAGGTCTCATTCCCACAAAGTACTACAGTTCCCCAAGGCTGACACAGGCCTACCAGTCACATTTCCAGGACTGGAAACCTATAATCCGAGACTATCACCAAGAGTATAATTTCCACCCTGTGACAGCGTCACGTGGAGCCTCTCATGCCGGAAGCACGAGACCAAGGGGACCGTCCTGGAAGCCCAGGCTTGGTGGGGCTTGGCTTTGGTGGGGTGTGTCCAGAGGCTTGTCTGGTCTCTCTGGCCGTGGCACCATCTCAGGACTGACGTGATAAGCCGTGAGTGGCAGGGGCCTGCGGGGGCCCAAGACTATGGGAGACAAACTCTGGGAAGGTTCTAGACAGCAGCTCAGTGATCCTTGGGTTCTACGGCACTCTCACCTCATGCCTGTGGTCAGGAGGCCTCCCTGGGCCTGACGTTGGCCCCTGCCTGTCTGAGGCTGAACCTCCTTGCTGCCTCTACTCCTTGATGCCTGGCGATTCCCTGAACTTGATTAGCGTCCTGTCCCCACTACATTCGCTCCAGCGAGGAAACTGGGTCCTCAGCTCCTGGGGCTGGCAATGCTTTAGGAAAGGATGCTGGGGGAGAACAGGGTCTGGAGACCGTCCTAGGTGCGGAGATGAGCAGGTGTGTCCAGTGCTGGTGGGAAGATGATTATAGTAACAACAGCAAGCGCTGAGTGCTTACTGTATGCCAGTCTGTGTGCTAAGTACCTTTCACATGTCTCGTTTTATCTTCCTAATAACCCCATGGGGACAGGGGGTATGCTTGTTACTGCCAGGTAACAGATGGGGAAACTGAGGCCCAGGCCAGCAGGTCTCGTTTCCCCCAGAATGCTACAGAACTAAGGAGGTGGATCCACCCCCATTTGGTCATTTCCTGTTTCCTGAAAACCTCTGAGTGTCAGTTGAGCGCTAGGCGCTGTTTTAGGTGTTCAGGGACACAGCATTGAACAAAACAGACCAGGAAAAGTCCTCCCTTAGAGGAGCTGACGGTCCAGTGGGGGCGGGTTGTTCAGATAATAAGTAAGCACAGGAAAGATGCAGATTATTTCAGGTGGTGATAAACATTACCAAGGACAGCAAGCAGGGAAGGGGGACGGGAGCCGCTAGGGCAGAAGAGAGGGGGGTACATAATTTTCAGTCAAGCCTTCCTCTCTGAGCTCTGCCCCTGGGAAAAGCCCGAGAACGTCCCAGGGCTGAGACAGACCTACCAGCCGTCTCTCCGCTATTGGAAAGACCTACGGTTCACGATCATCGTCCGGGGTCAGATTTCTCCCTACAACAGTTACACGGGGAGGCTCTCGTCCGAGGCTAAGACATGACGGAGCCCAAGTGTCTGCTCCCACCTCCCGGGACTCCCGAGGCCACGTTCCCAGCCACAGCCCACTAATCCTCTGCGCACCCCCGGGGCTCACTAAGAAGGGTGCGCCCCGTGTGCTTCTCTCTCTCCCAGTCCCAGCCATCAAGACGGAGCCCACCGATGAATATGACCCCACCTTGATCTGCAGCCCCGCCCACGGGGGCCTGGGCAGCCAGCCTTACTACCCGCCACACCCGATGGTGGCTGAGTCGCCCTCCTGCCTCGTGGCCACCATGGCACCCTGCCAGCAGTTCCGCTCGGGGCTCTCGTCCCCCGACGCCCGCTACCAGCAGCAGAACCCGGCGGCTGTCCTCTATCAGCGGAGCAAGAGCCTGAGCCCCAGCCTGCTGGGCTACCAGCAGCCGGCCCTCATGGCCGCCCCCCTGGCCCTGGCGGACGCCCACCGCTCCGTGCTGGTGCACGCCGGCTCCCAGGGCCAGAGCTCCACCCTGCTCCACTCCTCCCCGGCCAACCAGCAGGCCTCGCCGGTGATCCACTACTCGCCCACCAACCAGCCGCTGCGCTGCGGCAGCCACCAAGAATTCCAGCACATCATGTACTGCGAGAACTTCGCGCCCGGCCCCGCCAGGCCCGGCCCGCCCCCCGTCAGTCAAGGCCAGAGGCTGAGCCCGGGGTCCTACCCCACGGTCATTCAGCAGCAGAATGCCACCAGCCAAAGAGCCGCCAAAAATGGACCCCCAGTCAGTGACCAAAAGGAAGTATTACCCGCAGGAGTGACAATTAAACAGGAGCAGAACTTGGACCAGACCTACTTGGATGATGGTAAGACGCTTGCTTTTTCTCGTTGCCCGTAAGGACGGGGCCCCCGAAGCATTCCCCGCCCCCCCAGCTCCCCTAGCAAGTTCACTGTGTGGCCTGGGTGTCTTCCTTCACCCCTTTGGGCCTCCGTGTCCCCCTCTTTAATTTAAGGGGGTTGAAGAAGAGAACCTTTTAATGCCTCACCCGACCCTGTGCCCAAATCCTTTCCCAGCAGGACTTTTGGGGCGGCTGGTAAGAGGTTTAGATTTCGCTACAACCAGTGCAACAGAAAGAGCAAATGAGGGCAGTTCTGGCCGAAGGAGTGTCCCCAGGGTCATGAACTGGGGCGGTTTAACCGCTTCCACTGTCTTTGCATTGCCAAGTAGAGACCAAGAATAGACCAACCGAAAGGAAGGAAAGGAAGGAAGGCGAACCTTTTATTCCTGGAGAGAGAAAAAAAAGTCCTGCTTGCTAGCCCTCTTTTGTGTATCTGGGGGAGGGGGAGTGGAGAGAGGGAAGGAGCAAGCTCGCTGAAAAGTGGAGCATGAATGAGGGGCTTGCAGGCAGGCTCGGGGCATATCTGTGCCGTGGAGCCGCGGAACAGAGAGGCGCATTGACGGGAGGGAAACAGCGGGCTTCCGTTGTGGTGAGCCGGGCTGCTGGGGTGGTTGGGCCAAAGGAAAAGACTCAGGGCGGCTTTGTGTGAGTCTGTAGGTGCCTGAGTTTGTGGGCGCTGGTGGCGGGGGCCGGGAGGGGGGACCAGCAGCTGGAGGGTCGTCTTGGCGGAGTGGCTCTGTCTGTGACGGTGGTCTGTGATCTCAGGAAGGAGGGGCCCGCTGTGCTAGAGGACTCACCTGGGATCAGCCAGGTGCCGCTGCAGGACAGAGAGGGCGGGGCCAGCGGAGCTGCCCCCCCCGCCCCGCCCCTGGGGGGCGGCGCCAGAGAAAGGAAAACAGGTGGTGTGAGTTTCTTAGTAGAAGGAAAACCTGCACCCCTGGCTGCCATCCGCAGCTCCAGCTTCACCTTTTATAGGCAGCAGCAAGTGATATACTCCGAAACGTCAATTACTTCAGAAAATTTACTCTTGGGAACCCAGCCAAGAAATAGGAAGTAAAGCCAAAAGCTTCCAAATGGCCACAGCAGTTATCATAAAAACCAGATACTGAGTATCCCACACTTCGGTGGCAGGAATCCTCTGGTACTTACTCAGGCAGAGACTGTTGACTTTTACTTTTTGCGAAGTTTTGACAATCTGGGTGATCTGGGGGTTCCGGGATTTCTGGTAGTTTCTACATCCTCTCTCTAGTAAAACTACTGATCAACAGACTTCCCCCAAGGCACATCAAGCAAAGATGTCTTGGGCCACTTAGTATAGAGTCAAACTGTCCTTGCAAGGCTGACCTCAGGGTGTTGCTGTGTTAATAATTGATCTGTCTCATCCTGAATATTCAGACACAGGTTGAGTTAGGGTCACTGTGCTCGGTTTTAAAAGGGAGACCCACGTGCCATCCATCCTCGAACAATTTACACTCCAGATGGTGAAGATAAAATTTTGGTTGCTTATTTGAAAGGGAGCTATCTTGTAGAAAATCCATTTCATGCATAATGCCAAATGCAAGCGGATAAATGAAATGTGGCTGTAACCAGACCTCTCTCCACGCACGAGCTTGGGGGATGTGTCAGGGATGAGGTGCTTTCTAAAAAAAATGTCTGAGCAGGCCCAGGTAACTTTCCCCAGCTGACTCTGTGTCTGGTGGTTGGTTTGGTCTCCCCGAGCTAGATGTGTGCCGGCCCCTCCCACCTGTCTGTCATTCCACATTAAAGACAAACGGTGAGGGTCTCTGTTAGAGATGGCGAGTTAGTCCGTGCCCTGGTTCTTAGGGATTTATCAGTATCCAGATGGTCATGACTCACCTTCGAGGGTCTGTCATGGCCCCAGACCCACAGAAGTGCTTTCTGTGTTCACAGAAGCCTGAGTTGCGGACCAAGCAGCTGAGGATAGGGACCCTTTAGGGCGTCCTAAATGCCTTTCTGAACACAGGCAGGTTCTAAGTCATGGTGGAAGTGAGCTCTTGGCAGGTCAGTCACATGAGTCAGCCCTAAGGATGTCTCGGAGAACTGAGTGCAGTGAAATTGCTTCTCCTGATGGAACCTTTTCTTGAATACTTTCTGCACAAGCCCAACTCCATGGGATTTTAGGAGATATTCTCTGAAGTGAGGGTTCCATGGCTTAAAAAGGTAAAAAAAAAAAA